GGAGAAATGAATCACTTACAATTGGCACAATAGCTTGCAAGAAGAGAGAAGCTGGACTATCTTTTGAGCCACTGACATTATTTGTGGAGGGGGATTACAACGATTCGATGGCCTTATGATAATGATATGATGGCCTTTTCTGCCTCTGAGGCATAGGGCACAAAGAATAATATGGTACTTGGTCAAAAATGTTAGCTGCCGTGCTATGTAGAGAGAAAAATGACTAAAAAACGGAGTGAAGGGGCGAAAAGCCTACAGAACAAGAACCTCTGTTCTGCACGACTCAGAAAGCCGTACCAAACGACCTTCCGTTGGAATCATGTCATCACCACTACGTTAGGAACGGCTGCATATACAGTCCTCATCATTGCAGACCGGTGGGGCGGGTGAGCCGCGCTGCGTGTGACTCGGCTGTGACGCGGCAGCGATGACAGTCGCGTCACAGCCGAGTCACACGCAGCGCGGCTCACCGCCCCACGGTCAGGGTAGCAGCATCGTTGGTGTCAAACCCATGGGGGGGTCCGCTACTTTTTGGTCTGTGGAGGGGGATCGATATTCGTGAAGACAGAATTGGATTGTTGATAGTTGGTTTTGTTTCTGTGGAAAAGGGGGGTTGTTGTGCCTGGACTATTCTAAGGGGGGGGGAGGTCGTACTCACAGCGACATTATCGCAGATCCCATGTAGTACAATGCACGGTTGCAATGATGAGCAGGTTGGAGTATGTGCACATACATCCATTCCGCACCGGAGCCGCTTGATGTTGTATTAGGTTGTCCGGAAAGTTCTATGCGTTTTGAGTGTTTCACTTTAGACGATCATTTCGTCGATTTCTTCACAGTAGGACTCTGCTGTGATGGTTTGGCCTGGTGATAAAAAGTTATAGTGGATCACACCAGCCGATGACCACCACTGTGACCATAATCTTTTTTTTCGTGAGGATTCGGCTTTGGAAATTGCCTCGGTGGTTCGTCGGCATCCAACCACTGTCCGGAACGTCTCCTGTTATCATACATGATCCACTTTTCATCACAGGTGACAATTCGGTCCAAAAACGGGTCGTTTCTGTTGCGCAAAAGCAGTGAAGAAGAAACCTCGAGACGTGCCAATTTCTGCCGGTCACTCAAATTGTTTGGCACCCACTTGTTGAATTTTTTTACCTTCCCGATGAGTTTCAGTCCATAAGCAACAGCGGGTTTGCCACGTCTAGCTTTTCTGCAATCTCTCGAACTGTTGGGGATAGGTCACCCTCTACAAAGCCTTCAAATCTTCGTCAGGTTTTGCTTTAGGTCGACCGCTACGAGCTTCATCTTCAAGGCAGAAATCTTCAGAACAAAATCGAACCATTGTCGCACGGTGCTTTCTCCAACACTAGTGGGCCCCCACACCTGGTTAATTTTTCGAGCTGTCTCGACTGCGGATTTACCCAATTTTTAGTTGAAAAAAATATCGTCCGAAGTTGCTCTTTTGGCATTCCCAAAGGGGCAGGGGATTCCCCCTTGCGTCTCAGTAGTACATCCTGAAGACAATTTTACGCTATTTCATGGTATAATTGCCGTTTCCTCCAATGCTTCACAAACCCTCTTTTCCCAAGAATTTTTCAGGCATGCCAAAAGAGCAACTTCAGAGTTTTTTTCAGCAATGAATGTACAAAAAATAGTCACACAAACCCTGAGAACTTTCCTGACAACCTAATACTTTACAATTGGAGTGATACGACTACCAGCGTCGTTGGGAGCGGGGGCGCGGTGGGCATCTGTGTCGGCATGTTGCAGCTTGATAAGGAGCTGTGAGGGCAGCTCCCTTGCGCCACGCAGGGTCTGCTCAGGAACGCCAAATCCTGTCCTGCTTGGCCTACCAATCCTGCACGTCTTGGGGATTTATCGTGCCACTTTCCTTTAATGTAACCTCGTAGAGTCTGCGCTGGCGGAATGGACATGCGGTAATCGTCATTCGTTGTTAAGTCAAGCTAAAGATGTGGTGGGCTCGACATTTCATCAATTTTGTGATGACTGCGGGATCTGAGCGATCACCGACTGGTTTCGCAGGACATAAACAAGCACCATGGCTCATTGTCCGGTGATCCGACTTCCTCATGAAAGCACTGCACGAATGGTATGCGAACTAGGAGAATCCACTAGATATTCTGGGTGACAGCAGGCCGACGAAGACATTACCGGCGTACACAGAAAGAATTCAATGATCAACGGAATGACTACGTGAATGTGTGCAAAAAGATGGTAAACGTAAGCGAAGTCAAAACAATAAAAAACTTTCATGGAAAGTGCATATGCTCCCGCGGGATTTGTTACCGTAGCTTCTATATTTTGACGTGGTGGTCCTGCAAGAAATCTGACACGCATTGAAAAGCGGAAATATTCTTTTTTTCTTTCAAATCTATTTTTGTCTTCCGAAAGCTCATGCATAAAGAGAGTTACGGTCGCTGAAAGCATGAAACTGTTAATTGAAATTCAAATATGTAGTTTTGATTTCCATATCAATACCTCATTGACGTTGTCATATCTAATAAAATGATACGCATTCGAGAAATGCTTATTTAAAGCTAGCTCGCATCACTGCATGCTGGCACTGTCTCTGCGAATTTCGCTTGATATCCTCTTAATTCTGGAACAGAACTTACTGTTTTTGTCTCTTTTACGCAGCCTGACCCAATCCTCTACTTTTCTGAGCTTTTTACATCGGTCTCGCCCAGCTCTTCCTGGTGCTTCCACTACCACCTCAGCGTTGTTCCTGACTATTCCAGGACTGTCGTGGACACTTCATGCTGAAGGCCCCCATTGAATCACTCAGGTTTTTTTCTCGGTGTATTTCTCAAATCGGCAGCTGTTTGGGCTGTCAGCATGGCTTTGAAAATGTCCCACAACTCTGCTTGCAGATAGGCTTCCCTGTTGGACAACGGTTGGCCCCTATTTGAGCTTCGTGAGTTTGATGTTAATTGATACATACTCATCGTCACGGCGGGAAACTTTGTTGCACCACCTTGCAGTTCTTTAGACAGTCCAACTCTGGTGCTCCCCTAACTAATCTGACCTGCTGTGCCATTCCTGCTGCCGGTTTCCCTGTAGTATCTTATTGGCAAATTGGTGAGACCATTATTGTTCCCAAAAGCAGTACTCTCTACCTTGCTAATCTTCGTAATCACTGTCTCACTCCTCTTCCGGTCTGAGTCTTGGCACATGTCTATCCTCTTGCAATGATGCTACCTTAACTAGCAAATCATCCCTCTCCGTGATTAAGTTCGGCATGTAAGTGGAATCGGCTGCTTCCGTTGGTCCACGTTATGACGAACCTCAGGTTGATCTCCGCCTCCCCCAAAACTGACCACAGACTAAAAAGCGAAAAGTCCACCTCTGACCAGAAATCCTTTGGGGTAGCTCACTTTCTGAAGCGCCTTCTAGTTTTCGGCTCTTGCCTTTGCTGCCGCAGCTTCACAGCGTTCAAGAGCCATTCTCTTGCATTCGGCCAGACTCCTGAACTAGCCGTTTAGGGCTCCATCACAAGACCTCCAGTTGGTATTAATCTCACTTAATAGCGGTGACAGCTTCTGAAATTCCGTCCTGAAACCAGCCTGTTCTCTTTCGGTGTCCATTCCGTCTTCGCTTTCATCCACATTGAGCTGCTTGGTCCCCATGCCGATCAATTGTTGTTTCATTTCCTCGAGTGTAGGCCCTAGTTTCTCTCGATGTGTCTTCGGACGACGCGACAATAGACAATAATTTATTAGTACAACGAATACCAGTACATTAGAACTAGAAGTAGTATGGTAGCAGATAGAAGGGGAGAGATGTGCGGCGTATGGCGTCCCCGTTCCTAAGACATAGTAGGCGTGACATTTTAAACATGGCAGAGAATGAGCCAATCGTGGGATGTTTCAGTTTGGGACAATTGTCATCTTGTTCACTGTTGGACAGAGGAATGACCACAATTGTGTCAAATTGAAAAGATCTTACAAAAGCGCCGCCTTTTCGGCTGAAGTACGCAACCGCGCCCTCCACATCTTAGGGAGTTCGAGTTTGCGGCCCTTCCACCCGCTGTGTTACGCAACAGTAACGTGCTTTGTTCCTGGAAATTATTGCAAATGAGGGGTATGCAATGGGTTCAGTACAAAATTTTGAACACTCCAGGACATACCCTATATCTTGAGTTCCTGCAATGGCCACGACGCTGAAGATGGGGGGGGGCAGGCTCCTGCAGCGAATTCAAAAAGGATGTTGCTCTGACATCGAATGAGACTTTGTACTTAACCATGCCCGCGTAGACCATGACGGAATGATGGCTGTTGACTGAGCTTCTCGGAAGAGTACACTCGAGATCCCTGAGATCGGGTAGGCGTGGCCGCATGTTTCAACTTACCCTCAAGGCGTCTACGCTTCTGATGCGATATTTTCATCTCGACACAATCGTTGTCGTGTCTCTGTCCAATACAGAACAAGATGACAGTTGTCCCAGACTGGAATATTCCACTAGTAACCAGTTCCTTACAGTGTTCGAATGCTCCGCCTACCCGATCTCAGGGATTTCGAGTATAACTAAACGCAAACATCTGTGATCTGACAATGGCATTAACCTGCACACATTGAGCACCTAGCGGCACATTTACCTATCAGCCTTGAGCTGCATCAGAAAGGGCGGATTGCAGTGGACACTCATTACCGTTGAAAAGAAGAGGGTGTGTGATAGAGCGCGGATAGGAGCGCAACCAAGGCAGCCTTTCCTCTCGGTCGTTGCGGGCTCGGGGGTGCTACCATCGACCTGCTGCATAGTCCAGCAGATGAAGGCCACAATTCACGTATTGATAAAGATCTCATTATTGACGGAGATTTCGTTCAATAAAGGAACACGCAGTTTCAATTTTGTTCAAATCGTCGCAGAACTTGTCGTCTAATTCGATTTCATAATAACAAGAAAAGACAATAAGAAGTGGTTAGTCGAAGCTCTTGAACAGACAGTCTTTTTTTAAGGGAAAATACATTTCAGAGTCATGAAAGCGTCTCTGTTGGTTGCTGCAGTGATCCTTGGTGTGACGCTCCACGGCATCGATGCTCTAACACCACAGGAAATGAAAATTTGTTCCACATGCGGGCAATTACTGGGACTGGCGCGACCTTTCGTAAAAATGGGCGTCATCGACTACAACTTCGTCGAAGGGGTATCTCTTAAATAGTAAATGATACAACAGTATATGTCCTTTGCGTCCATATATACCATTTTCACTTCGTATTCACCACTTTTCAACCAAAACCACCTTTTTTGAAACGAAATCACCACACTTTTCAGACCGGGCCATCAGTAACCAGATCGCCCTAGACACCACCGCAAGCCCTGCCCTGAAGGCCACGCCCACTTGTCAGCGCGGTCACAGATTTTGAATTTTTATTCCATATCTTCTATAGCTTTTCTGGCTATTGCTGTTTTGCAGATACACACTTACAGAAGAGGCTGAACATCGACACTTTCTTGATCCGCACACTTTTGAAAGAATTTGTTACAAACCTCAATTTGTCATAACTTCTTTCCAACTTCGTTAATTTCACATCCTTTTCTCACAGAACGGATGCGCTCGTAGCACCAACAGACTGAGCTCCGCCCTTCAACCACGCCCAAATTTTATTCCTTTTCCAGAATTGTCACGTTTTTGAACTGCTCCGGGCTGCCCTACCACCGTGAGAAGGTCCGCCCACTTCGTGGAAGCACTTATGGGCCAACCCGATATTTGGGCATAGAACTAGTAGCCTTGCCAACTCGCGATCGCTGCAGTCGTTGCGGTCGCTGGTGCAGTCGAGAAGTATGAGCGTAAGCGTAGTAAGCATTATCCCCCAGTTCAATGGCCTTTGTGCCATAGCCTTAGAGCACTCAGTTCGTCTGGTATTGTAGTCGGAGGTTGGTCGTAAGGAGAGAAAACTTGCCAGCAGGGATTGGCTCTTGTAGCACTTATCAGACACTATATCACAACCTATTTCCCATCACCAATGTTTGCCATCCCTGAATTACTTGCTGGAAGCAGTTCTCCACTTTGCTACAGCTTATGCTATGAAGTCTGGGGACACCCTCTTGGAAGTGGCCGCGTCTGGTGTCTTATAACTGTTATGACTTCCTGCCACCCACCAATAGTGTTCCCATCCTGTCCTTTACATCACTTCTTGCAACCAGCGTTTCACCACTGCTAGGACCCACGTTATGAATTTAGTGACCTCTTTGTAGGGCTATCAGCTGTTATCACTTCCTGCCACTTACCAGTGGTGTTCCTGTCCCACCTCGTACATCACTCATAAATTTAAACTCCGTGCGATTGAGTCAAAGGAAGTTATGAATTCCCGGTCAAGCACCAACAGACGAATATACCTAATTAAATTGTTGAATTATCTGAGAAGAACATTTCAAGAGGTCTGTATTATGCAAATATTTCTTCAGGAAATGACAAAGATTTGCGCAAAGTATGGAAACCTGCAAACGGTTGGTGCCGCTTGTAAAACACTCAAAGGCGAGCCCAGAATTCTGAGAGGATGGCTACAGGTAATGATTTTACTACGAGCAGGTGCGGTGGAATCGGTACACGTACGGGAAGTGGAGAGAATTTCTTGGAATACGGCATCCCATACCATGCTCCCACAATTTACCATCATCAGTGCGACCACCCCCCCCCCCTTCTTAGGCTTTCCTCACTTTTGCCAGAATTTCGCTGTCCAGCAGGGAGGAGAAGCTGCTCACCGCCAACAACGGGAAGTAATTTTGCTGCACCTCCGAATATGGAGACGCACTTGAGAGGGAAAAATCATTGATTAAAGAACCCTTCTAAAAGCCAAGTATAAGCCCTCTCTTCCCTTAGTGTAATGAGAACAAACAACGGCTCTCGACTCTTCACTGTTACTCAGCGATCCAGCAGAAGGTGTGAATGAGTCAGCTTGGCAAAGGGGTACTGAAACAAAACTGTTGCACAGCTCGGAAAAATAGCCCCATCTGTTGGCACTGCTATATGTATTCTCCCGCAAACGACCTGTCCTGAGTGGAATAGAAGCTGAGGCGCAAGTGACTAATCTACTCAGGAATACTGGTATCTGTTTTTGATATAGTGCTTGCTCCATTCCAAAATTTTACCTTTTTTGAAAAGGTAGCAACAATGCGGGGAAAGCGTTTGGGTCGGACTGTCTTGCTCCGCGCACACCCTAAAAGGTGATTGATGCGGGCAAAACGATCTAGAAGCAGATGACTCTTGAGGAATTTCTTATAGAGTAGCCCAGTTATTCCAGCCATATTATTTCAGGGCGATGAAACGACGCAAAAATTGTGTAAAGATCTTCACCTCTGTGTTTAGAAGAGAAACTAAGCATCATCGAAAAGTTTTCATTCTTTTCTTCTACAACAACTCGAAGTGTAGCCAATTAAAAGAAACTTCGATTTTTGCTTGTGTAGAGCTTTTGCTTGCAATCTTCATTCTGAAATGTTCCTAAATTAGCTGTCATCGTCACATAAATGAAGTCTGCTCGTAATCGTTTTAGTCATGTTGTTCCTTACACCAACTTTTTAGCTCATTTGCTCCACCATGCGCACTGATTTTGCCCGAGTGGCCAGCCAGTGTTCACTTTAGCATGCTGATGCTTTCGCCATCTTAGGTGTCGTGGGGCAGTCAAAGACTTCAAGATTCTATTCATTGAAAACAGGAAGATTCCTCTAGAAAAAGTTCAAAAAATAGTCCGAGATCCTCTTCCGCTCTGCCGCTAAACTGTGCATTGCCCTGCAACACGCTTAGGCGACGGCATTTCAGATCAGGTCTCTAATACACAGTTTGAGTTTTGACTCTGTAATGCACGTAAATAGGTGGTGGGGTTCTGTGCTCGTTGTTTATCACTAGCAGGACTCCCACTGAACAGCTCGGCGATCACAGTTTTTGCTGCATCGACCGAAGCACAACGGGGAAAACAATGTTCCTAAATTAGCTGTCATCGTCACATAAATGAAGTCTGCTCGTAATCGTTTTAGTCATGTTGTTCCTTACACCAACTTTTTAGCTCATTTGCTCCACCATGCGCACTGATTTCCCGAGTGGCCAGCCAGT